GCTCTTGTAAATATTTCTGGGATTTAAGAATTTCCAACATCTTGCTGGAAACATGAATAAATATATTAAACAGATGATCAAGGTGATGTAAACATAAAGAAGAATAGGTGAATGGATGTCATTAACAAAGTATGATTCTTAGACTTGAAAGACATATCTAAACGTGTGGGTGATATTTAAACTTGCCTTAATGCAACAAATAATTGCTCATGGTTGTAATGATTTTCAAATTGCTTATGAAAGGCTTTGAGGAATATCAGTATTGCCCATATGTGATTTTTTTTTTCATTGACATGGTATATACTAAACAGATTGTATCATATTGTACATACAAAGCTTAACCACAATTCATAGTTGGATCCGAAACTGAGAGAGGTATGGCATACATCTTGGCTCTTGGATGTAAAGAGATGAAAACCAGAAATGGTAAATTAGTTTATATCCAGACAAGCAAGGTACATACACTGCCTATCTCAGGTTCAAATCCAACTGTGAGATATATCAACACTATCACCGACTTCTTTCCAGCTATTGATATTCAATACCCCACGTTACTTGAAAGCAGTCTTAATGAGTCAATCATTCACAGAATGATGGTTAGGATAATGTTCATATCAAAAATACTCAGTTTGCATTTGATAATGAAAAAAGGAGAGCAAGAATTACCACCTAAACATGATAAATTTTCACAAATGTTTTCTTTTTCAAGTCCCTTCCTTTGGTTTCTCACCAGGATGCTTCCTGTGATTCCCATGGCAACAAAGATGAAGCAAGAAAGCAATGAAGATTATTTTTTATAGACACTCATCCATTGAGCTTCCCGAACATCAGATATGTTGGTGAGCTGGAGTTTTCTTGCATTTAGAGGAAAAGAATGGATAGTTATATATAAATTAATTCATATTGAACTTATTGAGCTAAATGTCCAAAATGTTATTAACTGCCCTTTACATAGCCATATTGTACTAATAGCTGCATCAGTGCACAAAAAGTAAATTTTCTTCTTCTTAAATCTGAATCTCATGTTCCTCAATCCCCTTTCAACAGCCAAGATACCAAGAGCTGCTGCATGAGGAACACCTTTATCATCAAGGCGAAACTGTGACTTCTTACAGCAGTCAATTCAACGGCAACCACATGGCCTCCTCAGTCCACTTCACTCCTATGGCCGTCTCGTAAAATCTCTGCTTGAGGTCTTTCAATTTTCTTTCAATGAGCAGGATTTAATGAATTTTGGATTGTCTAAAAATGGATAGCTGTTGTTTTTTCTTTTTTATTTAAAAGTGTGAGGAAGCTATCTGTTTTTGTTTTGTTTTCTCCTTGTACCTTTGAAACTTGTTTTGGTGTGGTAAATTAATTTAGGTTCATAATCATTCCACTTATTAATAATTTTCTGACTCACAATAGAGGTAATATCATGATTTAACTTTTACCTCTACAATTTGTATAATATATATTTGTTTCTGTAAGTATATATTAAATTCTTGCTAATAATGATTCACACTAAACTTGAGTTGAAATTGCCAGCTGGGCCTCGGATATTCTTTGAAAGCAAAAGAATTGATCTTGACGGGTACTTCTTGTGTACATGGCACAAGCCTCAAGGCATCATTATACTGGCAATATATATATCTAATGGCAACTAGAAAAACTTTTGAAGGTAAAAATTGCTATCATAATTATCATTCAATTAAAATCATCATTTTCCCCCCCCTTTTCTGGGCATATGCTAAATGATAAAAATAGGAGTCTGCCTGTTGGTGACCCACAATTTCACAGCTGTAAATGGCTTCTCCGTATGGCATCTTTGATTCTCTAAGGAATCAATGGATTATTAAACCAACATTATCATTAAAACTTTTTAAAAATCTAATAGAATTTAATGGAGAGAAATTAAGCATTTGATATTACTAAATACCTATATTACCCGACAGTTTTAAAAAGTTAACATTTGTACATTTGGTACTGGTCTATAATGTTGCTGGGAAATTCATTTTCATTTTTTTAATAGAAACAGAAACAATGCAAATTTCACGTAGAGTCCTATATATAACTTGCATCTTACATGTACTAAGATACCAGTTATGACTGTATGCCATATTTACCTTCCTTTGAGCAAGTGTCCATATGGATTTTACTAGTTTTCTTACTTTTGATACTTCTGATTACATATAAAATGCAGTTCATTTGCTAAAGGAAGCATAATGATTTTTTTTCTAATATACAAAATGTGTATATGAGCTTTACTTTTAAATCCGCGTACATATAAGCTAACCGTTTTCATGTTGACAAATGTGGAAAGGTATGAACGAGAACGAACATCTTCACAATACAAGAGATGTATTTGACCGGTTTTGATCATGTATTTCTGATGATGATATAATCGAAACCGGTCAAATACCTCTTTTGTATTGTGAACATTTTCATTCTCATTCATACCTTTCCACATATAAGCTAACCTTTTTAATATTAAAAATTATTTGAGTTAAGCTGAGGTGTTTATATGAAAATTATGCTTAGGATATATATTATTGTTTGTATATCTGTCATAAAGCATTCTTAATTTTCATATTCTTGGCTGGAAGCTTTATTAGTTATTAAACTACTATAGTATGTTATCACCATATTTAAATAAATTATATGCTTCTTCAATTGTTATCATTCAAATATCCTTTTTCTGTAAATTTTAATTATGATTAATAAGAAATGTAATTTACAACCATATCAGTTCCCCACAGGCTGGGTTAAGCCCCAGCTCCTTCTTCTCCGAAAATTCTTTTCCTTCATCCTTATCCTTCCTCTTTCCCCACTCGTTATTCCCACTTTTCTTTCCAAACTTTTAGCTTTTTTTAACCTTAGTTTGTACTGCTAGTTATAAGTCAGCTGTCTGCTATGATTCCTTTTTTTCATATAAAATAGTACATTCATTTTAGAGATTTTACAGCTGTTCCTGTAAATTTCTAACACACTCTTTACACTTTAAGATTTAATTTGTTATTTCCTTGATGTCCTTCCTCTACAAAAATTATAATTCTAAAAGCCTTGATAAATAATAGGTTTTTAGGATGAATTCAATGTAGAATGTATCTTTAGCTGTTGGATCTGAATACCAAAATCCAGGCATCAAGCTTCCTTGAAGGGCAACTCTTGCGGGTGTTTGGCTTCCATACCCAGCGCAAACAAACACTCATGTGCGGTATCAAGACTTCTCCTATTATGAAATAATCAATGGGTAATACCGGTAGAGATGACTGTTCTGCATAAGCATTTTTTTCTCCATTTGTTATTTGATATCCTGTATCAGGATGCTAATAGAATATTTTCCTTGAGCAGACTCCTTACTATAACTTTAGGTTGTCTACACTCTGTGCAGTAACAATAACCATAAGTATTAGTTAATGATTAATGTTGAAAACAAATATATGTGTTACACATATAAGGTCATATAGCACTATGGTAAAGTATTCTGGTGAAAATGGTAAATGAGTTAATGATTAGTATAAAGAGTGTTAAATGCAATAGTGTTATAGGAGAGTATGATAGGGAAAAGGGTAAAGAGGGAGAGCAAATGATGTAAATCAGACAATAATAAAGGTAAGGGAGCAGGGTACAGGGTGATTGGATGGAATGGGTTGTATCTGTTGTTGGGGAAGCTATAGTAACATTGCTTTAAGGAAAAACTGGTAAAAGAGCTGTCGTGAAATAATCATGGTGAGTCATTTCTATCATCTCAGTCTTCTGCAAAATTTTTCTGTGAAGGTGCATTCCCGTCATCTGGCCCTTGACCAGTTTTTTTTCAGTGTGATATATCGCCAGGATCCATCCACAAATCTTATTAAATTTATTGAGAGAGAGGGGGGAAAAAAGCTAAATAAATTTCAGCTTATCCATGACATGAAAAAGCTAATGCATCTACTTTTATATCAAGTTCTCAAAATACAAAATAAAATAGCATAACGCTCACATCTCCACCCCCTTATTTTGTCTTAAACCTTTTATGAGGACTCTACATTCATATGAACTTCCCTGAAAACTCAAGCCTCTGTTTCACCTGATCTCTAAAAGTATTACATAACTTTCACATTTCCAGCCTAAATCAAACTGTCATTTACAAACAATACAATTTTACTTTGTATTAACAACAACTGAACATTCACAAGTAGGAAAATATATTTAACAGTAAGTCTGAAATCTTTTTAAAAATTTAAACAAGACAGTTCTACTATACTTTCCAAATCTCAAAAGCGGAAGGACATAAAATCATTTAAACATTGTTATTTATTGTTGAAATAATTTAGTCTCACATTGTTTACCTAAAATACATTTTGGGTACTTCAGGCATTGATTGTACATCAGAAAACTTAGTTAGGCATACAAATAACTTTGTTTAGATTATCCTAATAACAAATTTTTAAGACAGAACATCAGATTTCAGGATAAAAACCACATATGATTGCCTGCATTCCTGATACCTATAAGTAAGGTTTTAGTTGATCTATTCATGTTGCGGATAATTTTTGACATTTATCAAAAAAGACTATCAAAAGTTTTCTGCCACGCTTCACACTGTCTCAAAGAACTGCAGTATAATTCTTCTTATAAAATTCAACAGTTTACATCTTCAGATTCCTGCCAAGGAATGTTGCAATTAAAATTATCTTTGAAGCCAAATTTTATGAAAATAAAAACAAAAACTAATAATGCACTGACAACAAGTATATGCCATTTTTGCTTTGTTTTTGAAGTCTACAAACAAGTAAAACCTAACTCTATTCACATGATATTTTTCATGAAACAGAGAAGTGTACATAATACTATGCACAGCTTTGGTAATACATGATCTGACTATGGAAAAACAGATAGAGAGAGGGAAAAAATAAAAGAGCCAAAGAAGAGTGTGAAAGGGGAATTTCTTTTTGCATAAAAGAAAAAAATAATCAACAAATAATACAAGAAAAAAAGAAAAGAAAGAAAGAAAGAAAGAAAGAAAAAAAAATTCAGGAGTATGCAACCATGTAAAACACCCTTGATAAGCAGACTTTACAAAACTTTGTATCTTCCTTGTGCTTTCACTGGTCCTGCACTCGTCCTTAGCTTCACCAGCTCCTCACGGATTAAGCGGATGATCTCAGCTTTGGCCTTAGACACTGCCAGCTCTGAGGTGGATTCAATGGCCAGGAACAGTTTGCGTTCACCTTCTGGCGGGTTCTTACCCTAAAAGAGAGAGAGAGAGAGAAATTCAGTGGATGTAGATTTTCAAAACTACATTTTTTAATGATTTATGTAAACTGGCTGATAAGTTTTTTTGAAATATGTAACTACTTCATTTTCTTATTTAATTTCACTCTAATATACTCTAAACTAGCTTATAAACTTGATGATGAGGACTTAAAATTAGCCACAAGCAATAATAATAATAATAATAATAATAATAATATAATAAACAAACAAAAAAGGGTACTGATCTTGAAAGATTACATTTCCTATAGGCAAATCATAAAATAAAAAAATTACGCTGATGTAATTTTTAAACTACAACAACGCAACACCGACTGCACCTAGCTAACTATAACTGCATCATCCCCAAGGACTCAACCCCAGAGAGACTACTCACCGGAGGGCAGAAGGTTCCTCTGACTGTGATTCCAGCTTCGGAATATTCGGATATCTGGGCCAGGGCCTCTTTGCTGGTCACTCTCCACCTGAATGGGGAGAAATCATTGTTAGTTCGTACGCAAAGTACATAAAAAAAGCAAGAGTGAGAGAAAGGATGGAGGAAGAACTGGGTGGAAGACCAAGGGCTGGATGAGAAAGAGAGGGAAGAGAGTGAAGGGTAAAAAAAAAATAATAATAATAAATAAAAATAAAATAAAATAAAATAAAAAAAAAGACGGGGAGAGAGGGGGAGGAAGGGAGGGAGAGGAGAGGAGAGGGGGGAGGGGGAGAGAGAGAGAGAGAGAGAGAGAGAGAGAGAGAGAGAGAGAGAGAGAGAGAGAGAGAGAGAGAGAGAGGAGAGAGAGAGAGAGAGAGAGAGAGAGAGAGAGAGAGAGAGAGAGAGAGAGAGAGAGAGAGAGAGAGAGAGAGAGAGAGAGAGAGAGAGAGAGAGAGAGAGAGAGAGAGAGAGAGAGAGAGAGAGAGAGAGAGAGAGAGAGAGAGAGAGAGAGAGAGAGAGAGAGAGAGAGAGAGAGAGAGAGAGAGAGAGAGAGAGAGAGAGAGAGAGAGAGAGAGAGAGAGAGAGAGAGAGAGAGAGAGAGAGAGAGAGAGAGAGAGAGAGAGAGAGAGAGAAAGAGAAGAGAAAGAGAAAGAGAAAGAGAAAAGAGAAAGAGAAAAGAGAAAGAGAGAAAGAGAAAGAGAAAGAGAAGAGAAAGAGAAAGAGAAAAGAGAAAAGAGAAAAAGAGAAAGAAAGAAAAGAGAAAGAGAAAAAGAGAGAGGGACAGAGAGAAAAAGAAATAAAGAGAAAGAGAGAAAAAGAGAGGAGAGAAAAAAAGAGAAAGAAAGAAAGATAAAAAGAGAGGAGAGAAAAAAAAGAGAAAGAAAGAAAGATAAAAGAGAGGAGAGAAAAAGAGAAAGAAAGAGAAAAAGAAAGAAAAAGAAAGAGAGAAAGAGAAAAAGAGAAAAAGAAAGAAAGAGAAAAAGTGAAAGAAAGAAAGAAAGAAAAAGAAAGAAAGAAAGAAAGAGAAAGAGAGAATTCACAACTCATGGCATCAAATGCTAGTCCCACAACCTCAACGTGCCAAACCTCAAACCTCGACCAATCCTTACCTGGCCTGCTGGGGGAAGTCATTGATCTCGAGCTCCTCCTCATACTTGTGATGCGTTTCCTCCGTGGCCTCCTCCTCCTCCTCGCGGTCATCACGAGGCTGGTAGTTCAGCTTGTTATTCAGTTTCTGGGCCATCTGTAGAGGGGGGAAGGGGATATTAGCTTTTAGTTATACAGTGTGTTTGTTTGTGTTTGTTTGTGTTTATTTGTGTGTGTGTGGTGTGTAAATGTGTGAGTGTACGTGTGGGTATACGTGTGTGAGTGTACTTGTGTTGAGTGTACTTGTGTGAGTTTACATGTGAGTGTACTTGTGTGAGTGTACGTGTGAGTGTACATGTGAGTGTACATGTGTGGGTGTACATGTGTGGTTGTACGTGTGTGAGTGTACATATGTGTGTACATGTGTAAGTGTATGTGTGTGTATGTCGGTGAATGTACGTGTGAATGTACGTGTGAGTGTACGTGTGAGTGTACGTGTGTGTGTACATGAGTGAGTATGAGTGGTGGTGTACGTGCATACACAGCAGTAATTAACTGGCAATGTTATAATGCACCAGCGTATCAAGGCAGCAATATGGAGTTAAGGTCAAGGTATGTCTACCCACTCTGAGCATGGGTACTAAAATGTTACATCGTGAACATGTGTGTGTAAATCCCTTTTCTATTCCCTATCCAAAGCCCCACTGCTAACCTACCTGCTCAGCCACCGTTTTCGCAGAGATGGTGGGCTGCATCGTAGCTCCTCCCTTAAGGATGAACTCTGCTGCTTGCTGACTTGCTCCCTTGGCCTCCTTGCCGATGTTGTGCTGCAGGTTAATACGCTGAGCTAGTTTCCGTGCCAGCTCTAGCTTGTCCGAGGCAGAGGGACCACCAACGGGAATGCTTGC